AGTGAACAAAGTGAATAATATATTTATAATCTACTTTCTTATTTGAAATGTACAATAATTATTATCTTCTTTATATTTTTATACATAAAAATTACTCTTTTGTCCTTACTTTATTTACTCATTCATTTTCTATACACAAAATTAAGTACAAATTTGTCATTTTATAACAAAAATCCTAATTGCCTAAAAATGCATGTAAATACCAAATAGGACATTAAAAAAAAATAGACTGAGAGAGTATCATATATTGATTGATGTATGACAAATTAAAATAACAAAATATATACATTTGTTTCACACTACTATTTATTTACTTTTTGCATATAAATAAAAAAAATATTAAGATTTTATATATAATGAAAAGTGTGTAAGAATATCTTGATTAAAATATTTTTGAGTTGATAGATAGTTGTATGGTTATAATTTTATGTAAAAATATTAACTTGCTTTTATTTAACAAGACTATGCCATATGTTTTAGTTGGTATGTTACATTTCAATTATCTTAATATAAATTATATACTCTCTTTCGTCCCAAAAGTATAGTTTTATTGTGTTGAACACGAGATTTAAGGAATACTTGATATTATATTGGTAGTTGGTAATAAGTAAGGATAAATAACTTTTTTGCCCTTGTGAGTATATTAGTGTAAAAAGTAGTGGCAATTGTGTAATAATAATAAAAAAACATGAATAATTTTATGGTGATATGATTATTAATGGAAATTAGACTATTGTTTTGGGACGGATAAAAATGATAAACAAGACTATTATATTTTGACTGATATAATTATTATTGGAAATGAGACTATTGTTTTGGGACGGACAAAAATGATAAACAAGACTATTATATTGAAATTTATTCATACGTTAACCATGGTAAAATTTATAATTCAATAGAAAATTCAATACAGTAATAATAATTGTTATTTATTTATTTATTTATTTTTTCATAATGCTCTCTCCATCTCAATTCAAAATATCTTTTTATCATTTTTATTTGTCTCACTTAAAAAATATATTTTTTAAGTAAAAATAATTATACATTAATATTAAAATACTAGTATTTTTATGTGATATTTTTATAGAAAGAAATATTTTTATTAAAAATTGTGTAGAGTAAATATCATTGATTTCAGTTTAAAAATACAAAAGAACAAGCTCTATAGTTACAATAGATTTGACCAAGCCGAATATTGCATTCGATTCCTATGTCATAAAAAAATTAAAAAAAAAAAATAATAATAATAAAATCACAAATTGACAGCAACACAAGTAGATGAATATAGTATGAAATGAGTGAAATAAAATATTTGCTAAAGCATCTAAATTAGTTGTAAGATTAATAATTTGGTAGGTGTTATCTAAATCAATTAAATTAAGTAATATACTAATATATGAATTATGATAATTAATTAACATCCAATCATAGAGCTTAATAGATAAATAAATATATGTATCATAACAAACACAATAAAATTTGTTAGGTGATTTAGCAATTAATCAATAATCAATAAAATATTATTATTATTATTTATTTATTTATTTATAATCATCAAGATTTTTTTTTTTTTTAAAAAATGAGTATTAATTTTGCATCATATTCAAACATAGAAGGGGTGTATTTGATTTTAATATTTAATTTGACATTTAATTTAAATATTATTTTGATATGATATTTTGTGAGTCAAAATAATACCCCCCGTCGCTAAATATGTTCTTAAATATTTGATCATGAATTTTAATAAAAATAATAATAACGGTTACTTTTTGCTTTTTACACTAAAAATGTATACAAATATAATGTATTTTTTTACCAATTTTTTTAGTAACAACTTTAAAAGAAAAGTGAAAATAAATTTATATGACGAAAAAAAATCTTTTATTGAAAATAGTACAACTAAATTATGTAGATTTAAATTTGAAATAATAATAATAAAAAACCTAAATAATAAACTCCAAGGATTTGTTTATTTTAGTTTTTTTTTTTTTTTTTTTCTTAACATTCTCAATAAATATATACTGCTATTTATTTATTTATTTATTTTTATAAAATGTCACATTAAATTATTTTTTAAATAAAAATTCAATAATAAAAAACCCCAAAAGAATTGTACTTGGATTTGGAATATAATGAAAATGAAATTGATAACTCCGATTTTTTTATTTTATTTTATTTTATTTTATTTTCACGCACGACGCACTTTACAGGAATTAAACTCTTAGTCTCAATTATACGAAGAAGTGTTTAACCGTTTGAGTTACAATCTCTCAGGGGTAACTATGAAATTTGAATTCAATATTTATGATATTCTTTTTTTTTTTAAAAAAAAATATATGATCAAATTTAATATCAAATATATATTTCTAATTTTAATTTGAAATTGATATTTATCTAATCAATTGAATTCAAGGTAAACGCAATAAATTTGAATTTAAAGGATTTTTATGTACCAAATTTTTAGTTTGATGATTTAAAAACTAATAATTATTTACTATATTAAAATAATATAATTAAACATAAACAAAATCAATGATGCATAGGCAAATACATGTATTTATGGTCACATATGAATCTAAAATAAAATACTCCATTATATTTGAGATAGTTTTTGGTGTGAGCTATTAAAATTCATGTCGATAATATAAAAAAAGAATATTTTGAATTGCATTATAATTTTTCTTTCTTTTTTTTATTGTGAAAAAATAGAATATAAATATTAGAGCAAAAATTAAAATTAGTCTGATTCAAACCTAATTTTCTCATTTTTAATTTCATTTAACACAAAAATTTATTGGATATTTAAAATTTCTATTAGGTGGAAATTTCCAAAGATTCAACATAACTTTTATATTTTCCAATAAATATTTTATAATGTTCAATAACTTCATTTCAAAAGTAATAATCATTCCAATAGAAAAACAATTAATTAAGGATTCAACACTATAATTATATACTACCTCCGCCCCATAATTAAATATTCGTTTGCTTTTTGCACGTAGTTTTAAAAATATTAGTATCATATTGAGAATATAATAGAAATAAAGTAGAAATAATTAAAATAACATTATTAGTATTGTGTGATATAAAGGTAATGACATTTGTGTAATATATTGTAAATTGTAAGAGTATTTGTAATGTTAGGTAGATAATACAATTATTAAAAAATGAATGAATATTTTGTTATGAGACGGACTAAAATGAAAAAATGAATAATTTGTTATGGGGCACTGAGAGTATAATTTCTTACTCTTTTCACCTATAGGGTGTTTTTGTTGGATTTTGAACTTGAATTTTTAATAATAAAATTTTAAGTTAAAAGTGTTATTCCCTCCGTCCTGGTGCAAGGTTGTCGTTTATTTTTGCACATAGATTTTTGAATATTAGTATTATAATGGATTGTAGTTAAAAAGACAAAAATACCCCTATTAGTATTGTGTAATATAAAAGTAATGACATTTGTGTAATATAATGTAAGTTGAAAAAATATTTATTATGTTAGATATGTAGTACAATTACTAAATTAGGAAATGGTAACCTTGTTTTGAGACGGATGAAAATGGAAAATGACAACCTTTCAATGAGACGAAGAAATATTTAAATTTAATGCTGTATAAATAGATATAAATAAGTGTTAATATTATTTTAAAATATAGAATTAATAGATATATTTTAATTTAAATTTAATGTTGTATAAATAGATATAAATAAGTGTTGATATTATTTTTAAATATAAAATTAATTTTTAGATTAATATAAAATTAATAGATATATTTTAATTTAATATTTTTTGAGGAAAAAACAATTGGATAGTAATCATCTCCTAAAAAAACTCCAAACAAATACGATACAATATTTTTTTATAAATCTTTTAATATTATTGAAACTTGATTTTATTTAATTTTGACTTATTCAAAAATATGCAATAGTTGTGGGACGGCGAGTATATGTCTCTTTATTTATTTATTTATTTATTTTTTATATAAAATCACTTAGATTTGGTTGGACCATATTAATATTAAAATTAAGTATATAAAAAATAAATTGAGATATTATAAAAAATGTATAAAAAAATTGCTAAAAGAGTAATGAAATAAATATAAAAATAATTGCTAATTGATTATTATTTAATCTATTCTTTCTTAAAGTAAAAATAATAAACTTATGAAGATTATTATTATTTTTTTTACTATAAATAAAGAATTTTTGACGGACGGAAAATTATTACTCCCCCAGTGGAGGGGGTGTTTGTTTGGGGGATTGGATTAGATTTTTACTATTTATTTCATTTTTTTTCTCAAAAAATATTAAATCAAACATCTATTTTTTATTTTTATATTATATTAAAAATTAATTTTACATTCAAAACATCACATCAACACCTATTTATATCATATCATACCACTATTCAAATTCAAAATTTTTACTATTCAAATCACAACTCAAAGTATTTATACGTGAACTTAGATAAAATATAATTAATAAGTAATTAAGACTCTATTAGTAAAAATAATTATAAGTTTAAATTAAAATAATTAAATTATTTAGTTAAAATTTAAAATTTAAAATAATAAAATTTAAAATACGATTAAAATGCATAATTATATTTTTTTTGAAAAATTGACAAATTATATGGAATAGGAATAAAAAAAAAATAAAAATAGACAGGATGAAGTAATTTTGAGTGGAATTTACTTATACTTTATTATTTTTTTAAATTTTTAATCATATACATATATATTAAATAATAAATCGATGAACAAAACCTCTCGTTATTTAAAAATACCAACTTAGGGCTGAATGGCTATGGTTTTTTTTTTTTTTTTTTTTAATTGGACAAAATATTAATTTTGAAAATGGGCCTAAAAAATTAAGGCCCATTTTTAATCTACCAACCCATTTTAAAATATTAATTCTGAAAATGGGCCTAAAAAATTAAGGCCCATTTGTAATCTACCTAAAGTAAATGGGCAGATTGAGAAAAGGTCAGACATGCCCATAGAAAGCAAGCATAGCCTTGCGGCGGCTCCGCCGCTTCCTCCGCCGGTAGTTAAGGCAACAGTCCGGCGGCTGCAAGTGGATTAGCTCCTCCTTCGCGTGGGATGGTAAGTAAAGAAATCATTAACTTGCATAAGATTTAGAGCATTGCGCGAATTTAGAATCTCATTAATAGACAAAGCATGTTTACGTTTACGCATTTATTTCGATCTATTCGCGAGCCATTAACTGTATGCTTGTAATTTGTTCTTCCGGATAAAATCTTTACAGAAAAAGTTGTTTGAACGTATTTGAATTGCGGTAGGAAATTAGGTAAATCACTTTTGTTTTGTTTTGTTTTGTTTTCCTCAAATTAAAGAAAATTCGTGAGCGGTTGAAGTAGTTTTTCAGGATCATAATTGGTGGACGTGCAATTTTTGTGTCGTTGTCTTCGTGTGATGGAATTATGGCCCATTAGTTCAAAGCAGATGAATCTTGTGATAAACTGTTGTCGTCCAAAAATAAGGCAACTTGGTATGGGTTTTGATGTCATTTGATTTGGAATACACGTTTGCACTTTAATCATTTGTACTGTTTTCATTTCATGAATGATAATGTGAATTTGCGTTGGCATTTTAAGCATTATACGATGTTGTTCATTTCTATTTGCTTCAAGAAGTGGCCAGAAAGTTCTCTGGATTCTCATCAGGAATTGAAGTTGTATCGACAGTGTTGTTAATGGATATTTCCCTATGTACAAACTATTCTTGCTAATTGTATTGGTAGAAATTTGTTCCTCTATTTGTTTATTGTATGATTGCAATTTTATGAATAACATAATTTGTTCTGTTCCTCGGAGTTCTTGGCTTCGGTCTCTGTGAAGCTTGAGATTCCGGCTACTTTCATAGTGTTTGAGGGATTCAGGTGAGGTCCAGCGAGTCATAAATGTGAGTGCTGTCTCCATCGTTTCTTTTGGGTTTTCTGTTGTTTTCTCAAGTCTGCGTTTGTTTGGTGTGTAAATAACACGATAAATCGAGTAAGCAAATTGTGGTTTCCTTGTTAAGGGTTTTAGGGTTCGGTTTTGAGTGTTTGCTTGTTTTGTTTGTGGCAGGTTGTGAGGTTTTCGGGTTGGATTGTTTGTGTTTGGGTGATTTTGGGCTTGAAGCCGATTGATTAACAAAGGTTTCACTAAGAAAACCAAAGTTTTTTCGATCCTAAAATCATACCAATACTTGTATGTTGTTTTTAGATTAAGGAACATGTCTGTTTACTTGTTCAAAAGTCATAGGACATAACAGATGCTTAACAAACTTGGCTGAAGACTTCCTTTGCAAATTAAACATGAACACAGATTTGGAATTTTAATCAATGAGAATGGAGAAACAAGTGTTTTATTAGTAAATAACCTTATGTATGTTGGAACATGTATGTTTGTTCCCTTAAACCCCCTCAGTTATGTTGGTATCGGCATTACTTTTGGCACTTGAACAGGAAATTTGTGAATCTCATCCATCCATACATTCTTCTCCTTGGCAGGATCAACCGTCTTTAATGCTCGCCAGACACCGGTGTTACACTTGAATCCAGAACCAAATGCTATTTGCCAGACACGATGACCCTTTTTAACCCGCCCTTTGGCCTCAGCATATGCAAGTTCATACCACACCGAACTGCTAGAGGTGTTGCCAAACCTATAGAGAGTCATTCTAGAAGGCTCCATGTCCCATTCGGTGAGCTGGAGGGTCTTCTCCAGCTCATCCAACACTGCTCTCCCACCCGTGTGAATGCAGAAGTGATCGAAAGCAAGCTTGAAGTCCGGAACATACGCCTTGATTTTCATCTTGAACATCTTTTTTGCAGCCAAAGTGGCTACAAATAGGAGCTGCTCTGACATTGGAAGTACCAAAGGTCCGAGTGTTGTGATATGTGCCTGTAAGGCCTGTCCGGCGACATTAATTATGTCTTTGGACAATGACATCCCGAGATATCCTTCTTCATCCTCCACTTGGCTCACACAATTGTATGCTTTGTCGTCAGCACCTTTGTGGGTACGTAGTGTGCGAGTGAGTTCATATTTTGAACGCCTTCGATCAGAAAACCTATTCGATAACAGAATCGCTGCCCCTCCCAGTCTAAAGAGGCAGTTCGACAGCAGCTTTGAGCGCTCTTTACCTGCATAATAATTGCTTGCTACGCTCTCCAAACTCATAATTAGAGCGTAAGTGTTCGGTTGCACCTGTAGAAGTTGAAAATTTGATGTCAGTTACAGTTGCAAAGACATATATAGTTTACTTGTTGAATGTACATCTCTTAATATTTGATGTGTATAGCTCACTTTCTGTTATGTTCTTGCAGATACACATTCGGAATTCATAAATGCTGAACGCAATTACCTGTAGAAGCTGCTTTGCCAGGTCTAGAGCTATTAATCCAGCACTGCAGCCCATTCCACCTAAGTTGCAGCTCACCACATCACCTCGTAGCTTGTAACGGTTGACAACGGTGGCCGAAAGAGAAGGTGTTGGATTAAAAGCAGTAATGTTTACTATCACAATGCCTATATCTCTTGGCTTCACTTTGGTTTTGGCAAAAAGTTCGTCAATAGCTCCAAATATAATCGTCTCAGCTTCCTCCCTGGCATCCTCGAAGGGGCGTTTTAGGGGGAAATTATCGAGACAAGTCATGTAGGTATTGTCCCCCAATCCTGATCTCTCCATAATTTTCTTTATAAACTCACCACTTTCTTTGCTGATAAGATCAGATGCCACTTTCACAAGCTTCTCTCGGGGGCACACGAGGGGGGACTGATCATCAGGCTTGTAGCAGGCGAAATCCACCAGGTAAACTTTTCTTGGCCTACTCATTATATAATACGTTGCTAAGGTGAACATTAGAGATGTGCTTATGATTACTGCGAAAACATTATTGTATTTGAGATGATAATTGCATAATTGAAATATCTCGAATATGTGCTTTGTTGATATGTTTGCTGCAGCTGTAAGGAGGAGGATAATGATAAACAGATACGCGACATTCGAAATCACATAATGAACACCAAGCTTTACGTATTTTAGCCTGATCGAGGCCTGGAAACTGGCTTTGTTTTTCCCAACTTCAGGAATCGGGGAAGATGCTGTTTTGCCATCAGGTATTCTCTCTTCTCCCATGGCTTTAATTTCCTCAAGTTTAAGTTACATGCAAAAATAGATGCTTTATATAAGTTTAGGAGCACATGCTTTATGCCACCCTATTTGTCATAATTTTAAAAAAGTGAATATTGCTCTTGCCAACCCTATGGATGGCCAAGACATTCAAATTATCGGCAGTACATATAAATTTTCTAATTACCTTTCTGTCAAGTTATCTGTGGAATTGATGTCTACTTTAGACTGAAATAGGATTAATTGCTGAAAATGTAGGTTGTGTTCTTCCAAGCCAAAAAAACTCATACAAAAAAATACTACCACAGTCCGCCAAGTTTATTCACTTTCATTTTTAGTCCGTCTCTAAATTTATTCTTGGTTCAATACTTATTTAACAATAAATGTCACTACCTTTGTTTATATTATTTCTCTTCACTTTCTAAATTATTATGTTTCATTCAATATTTTATTTAATAACAAATGTCACTACCTTTATTCATATTATTTCTCTTCATTTTTTAAATTATTACCTTCTATTGTTTGGTTGGCTTCCCAACTTAAGTTAACACTATGTTTCCAATTTTCTTTTTTCAAAATATGTCATATGGGATCCACTAAAGTCCATTTAAAATTTTTTATTTTTATTTCTTTCTTCAATAAAAAGTATATTAAAATACCTTCATAACCTTTCATTTATTTGTAAAATTAATGTATGTTAATTATAAATAAATATTTATATTTTTTTATTTATTCCATATTATATATTTTATAAAAATATAGTCATTAAAATAATTAAACACATATTTTTAAATTTTTTAATATTTTATATATTACATCATAAATTAAATATTAATAAAATAAATTACTTCCAACTCATTAATCGAATTGGTAACCAAATGCACCCAATTTCCAAAAATACTCCTAACTATGTTTTTAATTTTATAACTATTTTCATAAAATATTCAGTTGCAGTGAGTATGTTATCCAACAAATACATTACATATAGGGTGTTTTTGTTTGTACAAGATTTACAAATTTCTACTATTCACTAAAATTTTACCTAAAAGAAATATAAAATCAAATATCTATTTTTTATTTTCTATATTATACTCCATCCGCCTCATATCTATCTATTCGTTTGCATTTTGCACGAAGTTTTAGAAATATTAGTATTATATTGGGATGTAGTAGAAATAAAGGTAAAAAAACTAAACTAACCTTATTAGTATTGTATGATATATAGGTAATGACATTTGTGTAATATTTTGTAAATTGAAACGATATTTGCAATGTTAGGTAGATTGAAATGGAAATGAATTTTTTGTTATGGACGAACCAAAATGAAAAAATGGATAGTTTGTTAAGGGACGGAGGGAGTACTAAAAATTAATTTGACATTCAAAATATTACATCAATACCTATTTATATCACATCATACAACTATTCAAATTCAAAATTTTTTATATTCAAATCCAAAATCAAAATCCAAACCCCCAAACAAACACACCCTTAATAAAAGTGAACAACTACACATATACAATCGAGGTCAACAATTCAAACGCTAACACCTTTACAATTTTTCATATTTAATAATAAAAAAGCACTAAAGCTATAAAGTATAAACAACTTAAACACCAAACAAAGATTTTGAATTTTAAATAGTAGTAATATTTTGAATCGAAATAGTTGTTTGATATGATATAAATATGCGTTGATGTAATATTTTCATTGTAAAATTAATTTTTAGTTCAATATAAAAATATAAATATTTAATTTAATATTTTTTAAAAGAAAAATATTAGTGAGTAGTAAAGTTTCAGCTGAGAACCCACAAACACAGAGAGCCATACGAGTTAACAATCCTATTTGAATATGAATTTGCACATAATTCTAATTTCCAACAAATTTTTATCCTTTGTTCGAGTAATTTACTAATCTGTAATTTATAATACTTCATGTTCTTAAAATAATACTCCCTAGGTCCGTCAAACTTATGGAAAATTTCTTTTGTAATAAGTTTGGCAGACGGAAAGAGTAGTTAATATTTAGTTTTATAATCTTGTGTGATTATTTAAAAATTTTACATGTGATTATTTATCATGATGGAATGAATGGTTTTATAATGATGTGTATTAAACACATTCTAAATAGTGTTAAATATGACATGATAATTGTGATTTAGTGTTTGTTCTTTCCGTGTTTGGTTTAAATGATGGTTGGATATAATATTTTGTGAGATTTCACAGTGGATATTGCGAAGATTGCATAGCAAAGAAATTGAAAGAAACAAAAAAACTTGTCTAAACATAAAAAGGTACTATATTACTGGTGTTTCTAGTTGGTGATTATTTCATAATCATGTTTGTCCATAAAAAACTAGTAAACATTTGATTACTGAAGAAAATATATTCTACACTTGATCAACTTTATCTAGCTGAGTAGGTTAGGCAATTGATTATGAAGTCTATGATATACTATGCAATTTATCAACTCTGAATAACATCAATCAAATTTACCAAGTCAACATGTATATTAAACCTAAGGTAAGTCTCTACTATGTTTTTTTTTAAGATTTGGTTATGATTTCTCACTATTCATAAAAATTTCCCCCACCCCACCTCCAAAATCAACTCGAACATCTATTTTTCATTTAATACATCACATGAAAATAATTTTTCATAAAAAACATTACATCAAATACCTATTTACATTTGTTTCAACATAAAATTTTACTATGCTCAAACACTAAGCCCATATCCAAACTTTAAAGGAAAATATGTGTTTGTTTGTGGGTTTGGATTTTTGAATAGTAAAAAATTGAATTTGAATCGTTATTTGATGTGATATAAATAGATGTTGATGTGATGTTTTGAATGTAAAATAAATTTGTAGTATAATATAAAAAAGAAAAGAAATTGTTTGATTTGATATTTTTTTAGAAAGAAAAGAATTTGAATAATAAAAAGAACACAACCTAGAGTACTTCTTTTGACTTCTTAGAGAACACTTTAGTAGACTTTAGTTCAATGAATTAGCCGACCTATATATATACTCTTTGTTTTAAAAGTCATCTATGTTTGAACATAATTAATACTTCATTTATCTCATAAGATAAGTAGGTTTATAGCTTGTTGCAAATAATATGTTGGTTAGGGAATTTTAAGATATATATTTTCTCTTAGAGAAATACATAACTGTTAGTACTTTTAGGGTCATATGGAACAGTATGTAGCTTGTTGATGTTATAATTTTTCACATAATGCACCTTGGATTCTATTGAGAACATTTTGGGATTTAGCACTAAACTACTATTGGTATATGTGTCTCGTCATAACCCGAATTGATTTGACCTGATTTCCGCATGTTCTTGTCCAAAACATGTTTGACTCAATTTGTTTCTATCATCCATTCTCCATCCGACTGCGTTTGTTGTCCCCATTGTCGTCGGATTTGTTCCAACCATTCAACCCTCCGTGTTTTCTCTTGGTTCTATCCCGCCTCTTTGTGTGTTTGTCTACCTCTTTGTTGATATTTTGGGTTTGGGTTGAGTTGAGTTGAGTTGGAAACCCATAAATAGGCACTTGTGGGTGTAGGTCATGTAGACGACTTGGAGTACATGTGATATGAGCTTACGTGTTTTTTAATATCTTTTTAGCGTTATTTTTTATTCTTATTTTCTATTAACTATTTTGATCTGTTTATTTTGTTTCTCTTTATGAGTTTATTGACTGAAAATAGCCGAATGAGAACCCAACAATGGTATTAGAGCTTTGAGTGCAAGAAGGCTAAGATGGATGAATATGCTTATTCATCTATTATTTAGATCTTATATGATTTTGTGCTAAGAAAGTTTGAAAACTTAACTCCGTTAAAGAACTTAGAGGAATTATATACTAAACAAATTTTGCCTAGCAAATTGTTTTATACTTGATTTCTTTTTGAAGATTTCAAGACTTTTAATATTTAGATGACTTAATCTTCAATACCATAATTTAGTTTTATCATTAAAAAAAAAAAAGTATTCACATTTGACACAATCAAATTTAACAAAAACAAACATATAGGTTATTTCATTTGATAGCTATGAAAGTAACTAATAACTATTTATCACCAATTGCAACAACTTTGCACAAATTTTCATTAGCCATGAAAATAGTAGCATATGGCACAGACTTATAGAGTACAAATTTCTTATGGGAAACATATGAAAGATATATACAGAATATTATGGGGTCGGGTAAGGTCAAGATCTATACTAGAAGGGGGAAGAAGGACCCTATTCACCTAGGACTGATTGTGGCACAAAATTGAAGAATTCATCATTAATTATTATTTCTCTTATTATTATTTTTTTTCTATTTAGTTCTTGAATTATGAATCTTAGATTTGTTCATGAGCTCATGCATCTAGGTTATGTTACGATAGATTTGTTCATGAGCCCATAAATTGATTTTTTTTTTTTTTTTTCTGTGGTTCTCTATTTCAATTTATTCGAATAAAGTAAAGTTCTTTTTTCGATTATAACTAAGTTATAACACAAAATTATTTATTTATTTATTTTTTATGTGGACATTGCTTAATAAAGTGATCTCGGTTCCAACTATTTTTTTAATTCTTAGTCCCAAACTTAAATCTAATTTTCCTCTGCCCTTATTTACTTACAAATATAATTTTTTATTTTTTTAATCTATTCAAGATTGTTTCAAAGCATAAATACTAAATAACATATTTCACATAAAACAAAAAGATAAAGGAATAAAAGTTAATAGCACAATAGGGTATGTTCATCAATATATTTATATAACTTTTTTAATATCTTGAACAAATTTTGTAGATACATTAAGATTTTTTTCTAATAAGTTTAGGATAATATAGGAACAAGAACATTCATCCATTTCATCCTTGTTTTCATCAATTGAAAAAGGACTGTTAGTACCATTAATAGCTTTGAATTTTTTTTGTACTACTAAAATTCTTTTTATTTTTTGTTGCCCAAAAAAAAAAAAAAATTGTTTATCTATCAAAATGTGTCATATTATATATGCATAAACAAAAGTCATATTGACAAATATCATGTAGAGTTGGCTATCATGGTCAGCTATTTACTCACTTTTAGAGCAGCCAGAATCGTAATACTACATTTGTCCGGCTCTAAAGTCTCATTTACTTTTTGCATATTGAAACTATTTTTGAATATTAATTATTATATAAAAAACGTAGTACAAATTAATAAAAAATTGCAAAAATACTTTCATTAGTATCTTATAAAACTAATAGAAGAATATTTGGACAAAAAGTTATACAAATATAAAGATATTTTTAATGTTTAATACAATGACACAAAAGATAAATGTAACTTTAGAGGCGGAAGGAGGAAGTAGTTAATATCACATTACACCGGTAGATCACACAAAATATCATTTTCAGTAGTCTGTTACTTATATGCTCTTGGAGCAACCAAATTATTTGATAGCAGTGTCACGCAATTTCAAGAAAATTTGAAAAGTTTATTTTGATTTCGGATCGAATTGAGTAGAAGATCGTCTGGTTTGTTACATGCTACCTATTTGTTACCGTTCTTGATTCGACCGTTGGTGATTCGCCATCCTTGTTGATGTTGCCGCTACTAAGTTGCCTTCATCTGCTCTGAACCGTTGCCGAAATGCCGTCACGGCCACTTGAGTGGCCGGAGTCTATTCTTGTTTGCGGTTTATTTTGTTATGTTTTGGCTACGTACCATTCCCTTTAGATAAGTGTGAGGAAAACACATGAATGAGAAATTTGATCTATACAATCCCAATCATAAGGTGCGACTAGTCGTTCCAAAGTTACTCATCGTTGAAGAATGAGTAATTTTATCGATTCATGTGAGGGTTTGCCCCGGAGGCTTTGGTTGAAGAATGAGTCAATGGATCCATAAGATCCCCGAAAATTGGTAAAGCTTCACTTAACTTCATTCCATTCAAAGGTATAATTTTGGCCTATATCTATATCTTCTTAAAGTGTGTTTTTTTGTTCGATCTTTGTTGATTAATTATCGCCATCTTTCAACAACCAAAAAAAACATATTAACCACCTTTGTTTCCTTGTAGGCCTGTAGGTGCAATGCATCGCAATAAATAGGATGTGGTTTGCCGCGGAAAATTCAAAACTTGAAAGCATATGAGGAAGGTACATTCTTACCTTATTCTTGATGACCAACTCTCTTATATAGACACCCTAATGCAATCTTTGAATCTAGCTCAACCATGTTTACTAAATGCTATTAAATAAACAAGACATAATTGCGTAGTGTTTCTCTCTAAATTATAGAAACTGCGCAACCCTCCTCTCTGTATTTTAAAAAATATTGCATAAATTTTTTAAACTGTAGTGCTCGAATAACAACGGCCTCTACCAATCTATCAAGTTTAGACTTTTAGATGATTTTATCTAATATTTTTTAAAACACGAGAGAAAATTACCAACCTAGTTTCTAAACCATGAGAGGAATTATAAGGACTTTTCAAATATGGGTTGAATTATAAAGAAAGACAACCTCTCCCATGGAGGAACTTTTTTCTACTTAAACATAAGATAGGTAAGAAAAAATGTTTGTCTATTCTAGTTACATATAATTTGATGAAATTTTGGGCAAGAATGAAATGCAAATACTTTTACAATTAAATGCACAAGAGAGTGGACTATTCAGTATGGTAGCAACTTGCAATGTTCAATTAAATGCTAGATAGGTGAACTAACCTGTCAATCTTTATATATATATATATATATATATATATATATGATCAATATGTTGAGAGTAGGCATGTGGCCTCATTCCCACCTATGTTCTTCATTTAATTAATTATCACCTACTTTTCTCTATTAAAATTAATGCTTGTTTTTTAAGTTTTGAAAAAATTTAGAAATAATAAATTAAATATTTTTATATGACATTTTGTGAATGAACATAAATATTTTATGTGATATTGTTTTAAATTCTTACTTTTTTTTTTCTTTAATGAATAGTATCGCGTTTTGTTAAAAATGTAAACGTTTTTATCATTTGAATATAATACTAATAATAGAACAACTGGTTCCATCTTTCCTATCAAGTAGGATATGCAAGTTGATGACATGAATGAAAGGTTTAAGATTTTGCACTATTTATTGTTAAAAAAAATATCGTGTAAGTACATTTTTTTTCTCACAAAATATTAAATCAAATACTACCTCCGAAAGAAGAATGATATTTACTTTTTGCACGTAGATTTTTGAATATTAGTATTATATTGGTTTATAGTAAAAAAAGTAATATATTTGTGTAATATATTGGAAGTTGTAAGGGTATTAATTATGTTAGTAAGTAATGCAATTACTAAATAAGGAAATAGTAACCATGTTTTAGGACATACAAAAATAGAAAATGATATCCTTTATGGGACGGAGGTAATACTATTTTTTTTACTTTTTTTCAAACTTTAAAAATTTCAGAAATTTTTGAAAGACTCTTGTCTAAACAAACTTTGTACTTTTAGACAAATTTTTGTAAATTTTTAGAAATTTTGAAATAATAAAAAGTTAGTATTTGATACTATATTTTATAAGAAAAAACATATGTGATGTAATGTTTTTAAAAATTTATAGGGTATCAAAAATTTTAAATTTGTTGTTTAAATTGTAATTTGTATTGTTTTATTATATATTTATATGAGTTAGCTTTATTAAATTAGAAAATGACGAAAAGGCTATGCTAGTAGCTAGTCCATGATACTGAAAAAGTTAATTTACTGATTGAATCAAATCAATATGATATTGATTTTTCCCGTCAATACTTCATAAATAGGCATACGACACATTGTTTCAATTAATACAATATATGTTGTGGTAATTGAAATCATGTGTGACAACTCTATATACAGGGGTATTGTATAAATATATTTTATATACTGAAATTAATAATAGTATGTGTTGTATTGACAATTGTTAGATATTGTCGGTTCATATATAATGTATTTGTAACATACATGTTAACATAAATGATATGTTATTTCATGTACTATTTGGAAATATTAGGGTTTTGAAAATAATAAAATTGAACGTAAATATTTATTTAATTTGATGTAAATAGAGGTGCTGAAAATAGGTATGGTTCGAAATTTCGATCCGAATTTGTGTTTGGAATTCTAAAATAGACTCAAAATTTTTGGGTCGTGCTCGGCTCATGAGACTCAGGCCGTGCCTGCCCCGCCCAGTTGATTATAATTAATTTTACGAACAAATTAATAACACAAGTCAAGTTAGAGCTTGGTGGTAAACCATTTTAATAGCATTTTTATTAAATTTATATAAAAATTTTAAAAAGAAAAAAAAAATAATTTGAAGTTAAATAAAAAAAAAAATGAGCCGACACAACTCGATTTGAAATTGGATTGTGCTCGGGCTTAGCCTTCAAGGCCCAATTTTAAACTGTTGGGCCGGCCCAAATGTTGTATAGGTACTAGATAGACGTGATGCTTTGTATATGATATAAATTTTTAATGTAATATTTTAAATAAAAATATGTATTTAATGTAATATTTTAAAAAGTATATATATGTTATTGATAAATAATGTCAAAAACTGATTTGAAAATATATTTAATAAGAAATTCTCTAAATAAGATGTCAATTGAGGTGTAGTGAAGTGAGATTTTATGTAAAATTTAGATTTTACATTTTTTTTCTTTCTTTAATTATAAGTAACCACATTAGATATAATGAAATTCATATAATTCTTAAATTAACATATGTATTAAATTCGTTATATTTTCTATTTTGTTAAGTTAATACAAACATCGCTCAATTGAATATATTGTTACACCGACATTTATAGTACTTTCTCCGTCATTCAAATCTATTCTCACTTTTTTTTTTTTTTTTTTTTATTGTCATCCAAATTTATTCATGTTTGCTCTTTTAGTAAAAAATACCACTTTTTTTTACCAAAAAAAAAAAAGTAAAAATTTTTATTTTTACATATTTTTCTTAAAATCCGTGCTCGGTCAAATGAGCACAGAATTGAATGACGGAGGGAGTATATGAGATACTCCATCGATCATATATATTGTCTTATTTTACTATTTTCGTTACTCCTAAATCAGTTGTCCCATTATTATAGAAGTAAACATATGGTTATGTTTGGTTGAGGATTTTGATAGATTCTTGCTATTCATTCATTTTTATTTTTAGTTTTTACAAAAAATATCAAAGATATATATTTATTTTTTATATTATATTAAAAATTGATCTTATATTTAAGGTATTATATCAATACTTATTTATATCAAATTATACAATTATTTTAATTTTTTTTTATTATTATTCAAAATTCTAATTTTCAACCCAAACACTCTCACATCATTATAAAACTTTATTAATACATAAATGTAACATTTATAATATTAATACATAAATGTTACTTTATTTGTTATCTAAATATATGCTATTTTTTTTTATTATCATTAATAATATTCCTGTTTTATTTTTATAGTAAAAAGAAAACATTAATTTTCTATTTTTTACTATAAAAGAAACAATTTCTATATTTACCGAATTGACATAAATATTGATGATGAAAAAAAGTCTTGTTTTTTTTTTTTATATCCAAATTACACACATTCACTAATTTAACAACAAAAATGAATAATTTAACATTATACAACACAACTATCATTAAATTATCAATATATATATTAAAAAATACTGATATTAGAACTTAGGGCGTGTTTGGCAATTAGCTGATAGCTGATTCAATTAGCTGATAGCTGTTAGCTGATTCAATTAGCTGATAGCTGTTAGCTGATTCAATTAGCTGGTTTGACTAGCTGATTTAATTAGTTGTTTGTATTAAAATGTTTGGTAAAACAACTGTTTGATATTAGTTGTTTATACGTAAAATGAGAATCGAAGACATTAATATTTTATTTTTGTTTCTAATATATTCAGTTATGTTCTTTTGAATTTAGAATGTTTAAAATTTTTTGTTATTAGTTATTGAAAATTATAAAAGTGTTATAAAAGTATTTATTTTTATTACAGTTAGATTTAAAAAAATAATATATTTTTATTAAAATATATAAATAGTTTTTTCTATTGAAAATGATGTAAAATATAAAATAATAAATTTTTCGTGTATATATTTATTGTGTTAGTTATCGATTAGTTCATTATATTTATAATTTTCAATAAATTTAATTTATTTAATTTATTTTTAGTATAAAATTTATATAATGTAATTTTAATATAAAAATAAATTATTAGTATTTATATTTTCTATTTTATGTTGATTTTAATAAATTTATATATTTTACAATTAAAATAATTTTTATATAAACATTAATTATTTTAAATTTATAAAAGTAAAACTATATTATAATAAAATATTCTAATATAATTAATAAATAATCAAAATATATTTATTCATGTAAAATGCATAATAAATTTTTAAGGGTATACAATGAATAAAATTTTTTTTTACAGAAAAAGCTATTTCAAAAGGTTGGGTAAGTTAGCTATTCAAAAATTAGTTTTTTTGTCCAAAAAGCTATTTCAAAAAGCTAATTTACCAAACACCTAAATTAGATTTTTGACTGGTCAAATAGCTAAAAGATCTTCAAAAAGCTATTTGCCAAACACCCCCTTAATCTGATTGTGTTTAGTACGAGATTTAAGAAATATTGATATTATATTGGTAGTGGGTAAAAAGTACGTGTAAAAGACTTTTTTGTCCTTGTGAGTGTATTAGTGTAAAAAGTAATTGTAATTGTGTAATAATTATGAAAAAGTAAGGATAATTTTATAGTGATATAATTATTTATAAAAATGAGACTATTGTTTTGGAACAAAATAAAAATGGTAAACATAACTATTGTATTGGAACGAAGGGAGTAGTATATTTGTGTATTATGTGATATTTTCCAATAAATTTACATGTAATATTTTTTTGGGTACTTCTATTAATTAATAGTAGTTGTTAGACTATTTTGACTTGGTAAAAATTAAATAAATAATTAATAAAAACCGAATTTATTTTGGTCAGTTTATGCATATGTTTGGAGTGGTTTCTTGGTGCACTTTAAATGGCCGACTTCATTGTGTGTACACATTCACACACATATTATATATATATATATATATATCGGTTTGGTTTTCGTAGTGCATATTTTCACGGTATATAATAATACAATATATAATACATATTCTTACAGTATATACTGTAATTATTATATATTTTTATATGATACAATATTGTGGTACGTTATATAAAAGAATTTGCAGACTGTCTTGATTATATGTATTGATCGGATCAAATTGACACTCTAACTAGAATTATATGTACGGTGGCGGCTACAGTGCTGTTTGACAGTACATAATATTACTATGTACAAACACTGCATATTTTAATATAATACAAGTACATCATATGAACAAAGAACACATGTTTTAGTCTCAACAGCACATTATATGTTGTCTGACATTGTACAATATTATTACAGACAACACATTGTATATGTTAATATAATACAAATACAACACATGAACTAGCAGCACTCTCATACAACACACACAATAATTGATTTTAGTACATGACGTATTCTTATATAACATACTTGTTATTATAAAAAACACCACATACCTTAATGTAACGATGTTTACAGTTGTTTGATTCAATTGAATATTACCACCAAATCTTATAAATATATATATATATATATGTATATAAATATGTATCCTAATAACTAATGATTAATGATAAACTCAAAATTAATTAAGAAGTTAAGATGTTCTTCTCAGCTGTAGTAATAATGCAAGGTGTATAGGGGGCTGTTAATTAGTCGTAATCAGTCTATCAATTTACTTTTTGCATTTTAATTTTTTAATATTAATTATTATATCAAAATATATTACAAATTAAGAAAAAATGATAAAATACTTTTATTAATGTCTTAGAATATTAATGTAATGATATTTGTACAAAAAAAAATATACAAATATAAAATTATTTTTAATTTTAAAAAATAATAACACTAAATGCAAATTAATAAATTAACAATGAATAGAGATAGTATAACTTTTAGTATAATCTAAATTGTAACATATACAATGCTACCATATATTCCTTCCATCATATTTTGTTTACTATTTTCACTTTTATTTAAAATACTATAAATATTAACATTTTGATAAGAGTGTTGAATACGTGAAAAACTACAGATACGATATATGAAAATATAAAAGACAATATATATTGTATAAGTATTAATATGTAGTGTTACTTCTATTTTATATGTATATTGTAAATTTATATTTAATATGTTGTCTGGTATACATTACGTGCTATCAGCCTAATATTAAAAAGAAAAAAAATTGAATATGAAAAATAAAATAAAATAAAAAATCTCAAAAAGAGAATAAAAAGTCCTATAGCCCTTCAACAATTAACGACATTGAAGTAAAAACTAATAAGTACAATATATTGTACAAGGTGATAGATGATTACATCCTTAATAAAACCACCTCTACAACCAATGTGTAATAGTAAGCCACCACAACTTGTCCAAAACACATAAAAACATAATCTTGAATTTGTCCAAAAATCATCTTAGATCCAAAATGACACCAAAAGTTACTCTCAAAGATCTAGATCTAATCAATCAATCTTTGTAACTCTTGGCACTTCAATAGGGAACTCATCAATCTCATCCATCCATGGATTCTTCACCTTCTCCGCCGTCGGATCGATGCGCCGGAGCGCTCTCCACACGGCGCTGTTACACTTAAACCCCGACCCGAATGCAATTTGCCATGTCCGATCGCCTTTTCGAATTCTCCCCTTAGCCTCGGCGTACGCCAACTCGTACCACAACGAGCTACTCGACGTGTTCCCAAATCTGTAGAGCGTCATTCTAGAAGGTTCCATATGCCACTGACTCAGATCGAGATTTTTCTCTAGCTCGTCCAACACGGCGCGCCCGCCCGCGTGGATGCAAAAATGTTCGAATGCGAGCTTGAAATCCGGGATGTAAGGTTTGATCTTCATGTTGAACACTTTTCTTGCGACGAGGGTGAAGAGGAAGAGGAGTTGTTCGGACATCGGGAGGACCAACGGTCCTAACGTCGTGATGTTTGTCTTTAGGGCTTCCCCGGCTACGGCCATTAGGTCCTTGGAGAGGGCGACGCCGACCTGTTTGGCGTCGTCCTCTTCTTGGAATACGCAACCGTAGCTTTTGTTGTCCGCGCCCTTGTGGGTCCGGACTGTGTGGATGAGCTGGTATTTTGATCGTTTTTTGTCAGAGGGTTTGTTTGAGAGGAGAATTGCGGCGCCCCCCATTCTGAAGATACAGTTGGAAACGAGCATCGATCGATTGTTTCCGAAGTACCAATTGAGAGTTATGTTCTCCATGCTTACTACAAGAGCGTAGGAGTTTGGTTGCACCTGCAAGAAATATTTCGATTTTATTTAAAATATCACATCTAAATTACTAGTTATGATTAAAAAATATACTCCTTTAGTCTCAAAACATATGAACATTTATGATGGACACAAGAATTAAAGAATAATAATATTATATTGATAGTTGGTGTAAAAATATTTTTAAAAGATCAAAATCCATATTTTATATAATTATGGTTAAAAAGTGAGGATAATTTTGTAAAAAAGTGAAAAGTTAGTTAATAAAAATTAGAAATAAGATCATGGAACGAAGAAATGACAAAATAAAAATATTATTTTTGAAAGGAAAGAAGTATTTATCTATTCAAAATTTTTCAAAGGAGGGAAAGTAGTATTTAATGCTTTTATGGGTATGGATGGATGATAAAATAAAAAATATTGCCAAAAAGTAAAATTGGTAGGTAATAATGAAATGACAAGAAGTGCCTTTTTAGGTCAACACTTTTGTTCTAAAATTAAAATTGCCTAGAAAAAAAAAGGATAAAATAAATTTGGTGTATTTTTGTCTTTTCCTATTATGTAATGTCTAATAAATTAATATTTATTTTAGAAATATATAAGTTTGTGTGTGTATATATATATATATACATAATTCAATAGTTATATTTTATACAAACGATTATATTTCAAAAACATCATTTTCTTTAGGAAATATTATGTTAAGAAAAACTCAAAATTAAAATATAAAACTAAATTGCAAGTTAATAAACCCTAATTATTGCAAGATACTCTAATTATAGAAGTAACATATACTCCGGACAGTCTTGTTTATCATTTTTTCCCGTCTTAAAATAATAGTCTTATTTCTATAAAACTACCCCTACTTTTTCATTTTTATTACACAATTGCCACTATTTTTTTACACTAATACACTAAGAAGGACAAAAAAATCTTTGTATCCATACTTTTTACCGACTACCAATATAATATAAATATTCCTTAAATCTCAAATCCAATCCAATTAAAACTATATTTATGAGACGGAGGGAGTATAATTTTCAAAGTTATTAAGTAAACATAGCCATTGCAATAAATGATGTCACCATTTTCACCAATTAGTTCCAGCAATAAAATCGACTTGAAGGTAACCAAATATGGAATAGAAAACAACAAAAAACTAAAGCAAAAGAACTTGTAGCACAATTCTATTTGAAAAGTCTACACAATTTTTCTTAATTTAAAACTTATATATAATTATTATTTTTATATATTTTAAAGAATATTACATAAAATCATTAAAACATTTAAACTTAAAATATTTTAGAGATTATTGTTGCTTGAACACTAAAATTTAGTGAGTGTTGTACAATATTTATAATAACTAGACTATTCATTAATTAATTAATTTTTTTTTTAAAAAAAAGATTAAATCAAATATTTATTTTTATTTTTTATATTATACTAAAAATTAATTTTATATTTAAAATATCAAATCATGTACTATTATTAAGCCCTAAACACAAAATTCAAACCCTCGTAATACACGACATGTTTGTGTGGATTTTGAAATTGAAGGTTAGAATAATAAATTTTGAAATTTATATAATATTGTATATAATATTTTAAATTTCAAAATAATATCTAAACATAAAATAAAAATTGATTCAGTATTTCTAGTGAACTCCATCCCGCATAAACTATTCATATGTTGTATTTTCATCCGTCTTTATATAATTTGTAGTTTTTTTAAAATATAATTATACAATTTAAATTTCATAATTTATAATTTTTTTTAATCTTAATTATACTCTCTCCGTCCAATTTTTCATATTGACAAGTATCTTATAACACTAATATAATAACATTTATAAAAAAAATAAAAAAATAAAAAAAATTATATAAATCTAAGAATATTTTTAATATTAAAAACAATGACGTCAAATATAAATAAAAAGTTTAGTCTCAAAAGGAAATACTATTATTTAATTAATTTTAATTTATAATTATTTTTATTATATCATAATTATTTTTACTAATAATATCAATTTGTCTGTTTGAGGAAGTAGTAAAATCCAAATAAAAATAAAAAGAATCAAAACATATAAATATATACCTGCAAGAGCTGCTTGGCCAAATCAATGGAGATCAGCCCTGCACTGCAACCCATCCCTCCCAAATTATAGCTCAGAATATTCCCTCTAAGCTTGTAATGGTTGACGACCATGGCGGACAGCGACGGCGTCGGGCAGAACAGGCTGCAATTCACCACCAGTATCCCAATATCCTTCGCCCTCACCCCCGTCTTCTCCAGCAGATCGTCAATCGCGCCGAACATCACCATCTCCGCCTCCTTCCTCGCCTCCGCCATACACGGATTCGCCGGAACCCTAAGCAGCGCCTCCGGAAAATACGTCTTCTGCCCTAACCCCGACCGCTCCAAAATCCGCTTCTGAAACTCCAAATTCTCCGCCGTAAACGTCTCCGCCGCCCTCGACCGCTCCATAAACACCTCCTTGCTGCACATCGCCGCCGCCGCCGGCCGGTAGCAGGCGAAGTCCACCAGGTAGACGCGGCGCGGCCGCGTCATGAAATACAGCGTCGCCACGAACGCCGCCAGCGCCGCCGCCGCCGCCGCCACCGCCACCAGATTGAACCGCAGGTGGTTCCAGAGCTGCGCCGCCCCGTCGCCGGAGATGTTGACGGAGAGAGCGCCGACGGCGGGGACGAGGAGGAGATACATCGCGTTGGAGATGAGGTAATGGTAGCCGAGCTTCACGTACTTGAGGCGTACGGATTGGAGGAAGTTTGGAAGCTTTTTATAATGGCCGGCGCCGCCGTCGACGGAGATTCTCGCCGCCGTGGATGAGCCGCCGGAATCCGCCATTGGTTAGGGGAAATATGATAATTTGAAAAATTAACTGATTATTTAATAAATATTGAAATTTGAATATATATATTTATATTTATATAAAAATAAATATTGGAAAATGGTATGTATGAATGTATGTAGTAAGAAGGGAAGTATTATGTGTATATATATATATATAAAGGGAAGGGGAGTAAGTTAGTAAGTAAGTTCAACTACCCCAACGAACTTTTAATGCTGAGAGAGCATTGAATTTTGACAGACAAATATTAGCTTGCCCTGCCTTCGGACAACCTCCCCACGCGTTATCTACTATTTATTTATTTATTTTATTTATTAGGGTTTATGGGATAAATAGTAGGACATTTATTACTCCATCCATCATCGTCGGAAACATCGTGGTTGTATTGTATGGTAAGAGATGATCCGGTGGTGTAAGGAGTGAACTTGTGATCATGAGGTTATGAGTTTAAATTCGGACGCTTTTAGATTTACTTATTACACCTGGTTCTCCCAGTGTGACTTGTCTTATCGGACTTAGTTTGCAGGGTATTAGGTTCAGCCAAAAGTTTACTTAGTGCGTAGAGGCTGTTAGTAAAAAATTTGAATTTGAATAGTAATATAATTTTATATAAATAACTAATGTTTTAGGTATTTGATACGATGTTTTTGTAAGAAAAATTTTGTATGAATAATAAAAATTCCTCCAAATCCTTGAAACAAACACACCCTATAATTAATGACACGGACATTAAGAAATAATTACATATATATATTTTTTATTTTTTTAATAAATTATCTATTTTTCTTATTTTAGTTTGTATCAAAATAAGATGTTCATTTTTCTTTTAGTAACTTCAATACCTACTTACCGCTAAAAATATTTTTAAACTCAAACTATATATATTACGAAAATATCATTACAATATTTATAACTAATTACAAAATTAAAAGCATAATTACTAACTAATCAACCTATTACCTTGAACATCCCCCACACTCGACTACTCAATTTAGAGTTTTTGAAACCCTTTCATATTCGCTTACCGACTCTCCTCCTTCTTTCGCTTTCTTCATTGTCGTTGTCTTCTTTTCCGGAACCTCCACCAACGATGTCCCTCGCCCCCTCGGTCTCTGGCGCCGGCCGAAGGGTGTTCCTCATTTTAGATGGTTAAAGCTCCTTTCAATCGTAGTGTGACTTTCTAAACACTTTCATTCTCTTTTTAGTAACATTACTTAAAATTTTTTTGTTAAAATTAAAGATTTTGAGGCTTCATTGAAAATTTGTCGAGTGTTAATGTTGGGCTTTGATTATGTTTTTTATAAGCACCATCACTACACGTTCTGATTAATGATTGAGAGTCCCTCAACACTAGAAGTCAAGCTGGATGGTTGAGATATATTTTCAACTTATTGTATGCTTTAGCTAACTTGAAATCGATTTTCATGTGTGTGTGGCAAATATTTGTTATTAGTTGGAATAGACAACCTTAGATAATGATATATGTTTCCTCTACAATAAATCTTAACGTGCCTCGCATTAATTTGAGATTTAGAGACTTACACTAAGTATAATGCAATCATTATATTTTGTAAGCATTATCCTTTAATGAATTTATTAAATTGCATAATAATTTAGTAAATTCTAATAGTCGGTGATCTTTATTATGTGAAAGTATTTTTCCTTTGTTCCATACTCAATGATGATATTACAATCTAAAAGTCAAGTGTCCCAATTCTCAAAAAAATTGTTTCTCACTTAATATTTTACAATGCAGTGTCGTCCATACTATATGATGAAAATACAATTTGAGAACGATTGCTCCTCTAATGTTACATAAATACTATATCAAAAGTGAAATCAGGAACATTTAGTTGAGGATGATGGACTTTCTTTATGTGTTGTCACTACAAATGTTAATGACTTTGTGCTACAACTACGTTTATATTATTTGCTAACAACATATTATTAGTTGTTATCAAACTCATTTACAGAAGGATATCTACTTACAAACATTTTATAAAGTTCCACAATTACTTACAAAATGTGAAATTTGGACAAAATAAAGATTTTTTTGGTCATCTATATCATTCCCTCAACGTACGTAATAAGATCTCTCAAATCTCGAGCCTCATTTGCTTTAATAAATGTGTCACAATACTGAATTTAAACAACTCTCAATCAATCTCCAAGATTGTAGGCAAGTTATTATTTCTTGTCATAGCCGCTTTACCAATGTGAGAAGGTTTGTAATTATTTTTACCATTGCATGCCATGATTTCTCCAAGACATGCCTGCAAATTTTAAAAATATTATTCAATGTTGTGTGGTAAATTCTTCAAAGGATTTTGTAACAACATCTAGCAATTCATCCACAGTTCATGTTGTTGTTGTAACCTGTAATGATTGTATTGTCCGAAACCACTCAAAATTATTTATGTTAGTTTTCAGGCTGAAAAAAAAAAAGGTAAGACTTGTTTGGGCCATCATCCAATAATTGTTTAGCTTACATATAATTCATTTTAACCACACTTCGGTATGAATAAACCACATATGTTTATTTGTTGATTTTATTTTTTTATGTCTAAATTATAAGTTGGATATATATTTATATAAGACTAAGTATATTATTTTTATAATGAAATAGTAAGAGATGTATAAAAAGAAATAACAATAATAAATATTTTAAGTAAACTTAATTAATATAAAAGAAAAAAAAATTATAATTTTTTTATTAACAGAAAATTAAAAAATCATTAATTGGCTCATAAATATGTTTATTTTAGGAAATGTAAAAAAGTGATCGTTGTTTTGTTTTGAAATTTTTTGAAGTAATAACAGTATATTGATATGATAATTTGTCGACAAAAAATAAAAATCGGGTGCATGTGTTTTAATAATAATAATAATAATAATAATAAGAGAATAAAAATAAAAATACAAAAAGTGTATTTGGTTGGGGTTACTAAATTTTTTTTTTACTATTCATTAATTTAATTTTATTTTTTTAAAAAAATAGTATTGAACTAAACATATAATTTTTATTTTTTTTTATATACATTAATAATCAATTTATATTTAAAATATTAAATCAAAATTTATTTATATTATATTGAATAAATATTCATAATTAAAATTTTATTATTTAAAACTCAAATTCAAACTTAAATTCCTAATACACACACAAGAGAATATAATTTAAATTTTCGTAATAGCCTGAATAGTATGAGGGTGGACTCGTGATCGTAAAATATGAGTTCATACTTTCGACGTTTTCAAATATTGTCTGTCGCATATGATTCTACTTGTGTGACTTGTTTTGTCATGTTTGTTATTGCAAAGATTTGGGCAAAGAAAAGAAAACTAGAAAGAAGTACGTGTGGGTTTTGTAATAATCTTGAACGAAATATTAATAAATGGATATAATTGGTAGTTGGTGTACCAAATTTGAACTGTACAAAATTTTGGGACAAGTAATTTGAGTTTGATTAGCTATTTAATTTAATTTAATTTAATTAATACTTTCTGTAAATGCATTATAATGGGATACATTTGGTAAGAAATTCCGGTGTGTGTGTTTTCTTTTTATAGATATCTTTTTTTAAAAAAAAATTAATATATTATACATATTTATTATTTTTATATTTTTACACAGTTTTTTATACTTGATATGAATTTTTTTTTCAACCATTTAAAAAAAAAAAGGAAAAAAAGACACCCTAGATTCGGGGTATATTCCATTATTTTGTAGTTTAAGTGTGTTTGTTAGTTTTAGGGTTTGTTTTCTTTACATTTTTGTTTTAAAATTTTTACTTACTATTTATTATTTTAGTTATTAATAAAATATATTATTATTTTTTGACAAAATTTTATATCAAATAACTATATAAATACCAAATACAAACACACACAAAAGTTTTAGTATGGGATAATTATACCATTTTTTTTTAGATATCTGCAAAATATATACATAATTTATTTATAGTAAATAATTTTATTATTCTTACTTTAACAAATAATAATCAATTTGCTTTGAGGGAGGGAGTACATGATAATAGAATTAAGAAGGAACCTAAAGTTTCATCTTAAAACTAATTGGTGATAAAATAAATTGTCATTCACTTTTATAAACTAAGAGAACTTTCAATATAATTTCTACATGGAACAACTTAACACTCCTCATTCGAAATGATATCATCTCGAAATCCTAACTAAAATCCATATCCATATCATCTCGAAATCCTAACTAGAATTCATATCCAATATATGTAGTATAACTCTGATATCATATTAAGAAGAGATTCAAAGCTTTATCTTATAACTAGTCGTTGATAAAAAGGAGTTTCTCTTAATTCTTATAAACTATGAGAGCTCCCAACACATTTTTATGTGGGACAACTTAACACCCGTCACTCGAGATGATATTATCTCAAAATTATAATCAGGATCAATACCTAATATGAACATTCATAATTATGATATCATCTTAAGAAGGGATCCAAAATTTTGAAATGGAATCCCAGATTGCCTCTTAACAAATAGTTCACAAAATATATATAACAATTGATATCAGCGGAAATGTTATTGTTAATATAATATAAATACATGATATAAAATACATGATATAAACCGACAATATATAATAATAGTTTATATAATATATCTCATAATTGATCTTAATACAATATACATATTAGCTGTTGGAATCAAATTTTGCGAGGTTCTAAGTCCTCTTACGATTTTCAGTATTGCGCTCTTTGATCAAGCGATCATCGTCGACTCGAAGATGGAAGTCGGCTTAGGGTTCCAGCAAGTATTTCAGAAGCCTTTATGATAGTTGACGTTTGACATCCTTAGGCTCGGGAGGTCTCGAATTATTGGATACGGTGTGTGTACGGTCCCTAATCGGAAGGCCAACGGATGATTGTGGTCCTTAGCCTTAGAGGGCCTCGAACGGCTTGAAAGTAATAAGTGTGCGGCCCTGAATCGTGAGGCGAATAAATTGAGTGATTCCTATGGATCCAAGCTTGAAATAGGATTCAAAATTTTTTTACTGATTGCACAATATATAAACTTAAAAATAAAATAAATTATAAGACTCAATTTATTAAAAAATAATAATAATATAATATTATTTTGTATAT